AGTTTATGTGCATGACTATTAAAATAATGATAATAATTAGTTATTATCAACAATTAGTAATTAGTAATTATTATATCACAGTACCTAATTAAGCATGTGTACAGTTCAGGCACAGTGCTATGCAATTCAGATGGATTATCTCACTTAATTCTGAAAACAACTCAGTGGGATATTAGTAATTAGTATAGATCTGTAGTCTATAGATCATGGCCCTGAGTTAGGGCCTCTAGTTGTGTGTCTTCAGAAGGGAACCTACCTAGGCCACTTAACTCCAGAGCCCAAACTTTCCCTTGAAAGTTAGCAGTGAAATGAAGGATTATCCACTAAGTCATGTTGAGACAGTGAGCTATGAAGAAAAAAAGTTAATGCAGATCTCTAGCTTATCAACATCAATTCTGAGTGATCAAGGTAAAGAATACAAAATATTCAAACAATATTTAAGCAGTTCCTGAGCTGAAGTAAGACAGAAGAATTGCAAATGAAGAAAACAAATAAGACATTAGATTTTAAATGGTTTCCTTTAGTTCTTCCTCTCACTTCTGTCCTGCCAGAGTAGCTGCTGTCTCCAATCTAGAGTTCTCTGGGCTCTGCTGAGATTAGCTGCCTTTGTAGCTAAACTTCTTCACCTGTGGTTTATACTGCAACTTTTTCCATTTTATTTCATTAACTGACTTCTTCTGTACACTTAACTTCTAGAAATTTGTCATTATTTCCATGCTCTGTGGTTCCTTTATTTATTGTGGACTTATGACTTTGTAACTTTATGTACTATTATTTAAATGGGATCTCACTCTGTTATTTTAAAGTTGAAACATTTGTGAGAGTATGGGGATTGCGGCCTTATTAAATCACCTGAGTTTAAAGTGCAAAGCCAGTTTTGTCTGGTTTGGGTACAATTTGGCACAACACTTTTGGAAAATGAATTTGCAAAATATATTTTAAAAAACCCAAATAAACTCTCATTACAATATAGTGTTTATGCCAAGAGAGTCTTTCATGTTTATTAAAATTTTAGCCAATTTTATTTTTCCAATATATTGTTTAAAAATGCCTTCAATATAATAACCATTTGTTCAGCAGTTCTTCACGGTAGAATTCTATTTTATGTGAGAAAATGTAACAGCTCAAGGGTAAGGCACATGATATATCATCTCTATACAGTCTTTCATAGATATGAAAATGTTTTGGATCACATGGAAATAGTTGAGCTACAATACTAATAAATAGATACAATGCAGTTATAGTGGAATCTTAGTTATTTTAAATTTGCATATAAAATTAAACTATAATGCCAAGAGTGGGACAGTAGGGTTGCAAGTGCTTTTATTCATTAAAAGAAAACTTTGTATCATATTTTTATCTTTAGTTATTCTACTTAATTTATTTTATAAATTTCTGAGGGAAAATGTAAGCATATGAATAGTGACAAGAACAACAGATTTGGGAAAATACATGCACACTGCACTGAAACCAAAGAGAAATCACTTATTTCCATGTATTCCATCATCGACTATTTTCTACTGTCTCATCTACTTTTTTCAACAAAGTGAAATGTTACCTTCGTGATTGTCTCTCCAGTTTCTACTGGAGTGAGCTCTGCTTCGATGAATAGAGACGTTCGCAAAAATGAGGGAAAATGTCCAGAAAATGCAACAACTGTATCTCATTTTTCTCTTCATGTTTTTCAACATGGCATATTTTTTCAAGTATTATATGAAATTAAAACCAATCTCACAAGTTATCTGTAAAAATATAGAATGAAATATAGCAAAGATATATCTTTTGTCTTTTTAAAATGTACATGTTTATGGTCTTTGTAATACTAAATACATTAATATTATCAACAGTCCGGAAGACACATGTCTTTTGCTTTCTGTATCTCAGCCTGTAAACATTTCAAGTGAAGGCAAGTGTAAACTATTTCTTCCATCTGAATACCATTTTTTTTCTGCTGAACTCATTTTACCTATGGCACTCTCTTTATGTATACAGCAGGAAGTGTAATTTTTATTGCTCCGGGTAAGACGTTCATGTGAGTTTTATAAAATGTTCCACTGTACTCCTTAATGATTCATTGAATAAGAAAGAGAATTTAACATTCTATATAAGAGCAAAACACCAAAGTAATTTTTTCTATTCTTTATTTTTCTGTGTATGGCATGTAGTTTCAGAAGCCATGTTTAACTACCACAATCTTTCATTTAAGTTTGTTTGATTGCTTAACATCTGTGAATTATTAAGGTAAGTGATGACACAGACCTTCCTCAGTTTAGATTAGTTTGGAACACGTCCCAGAGTATAATCCTGCATGGCAGAAGCTCTGAAAGGGGAGTGTGTGTGTGTGTGTGTGTGTGTGTGTGTGTGTGTGTGTGTGTGTTAGCATCGGTTGCTTTGACATAGGTTTGCCTTATCCTCTTTCAGAAAATCTGCTAAGAATGTCTCCTCGTCCCACCTTCTGATTATTTATAACTCCAGGCATGTATAATTCTTAATGCCGAATTCAAAGAGAAAATCTTGAACACACAACCCCATTGCTGCCAAGCACTTGTGATCACTTTTGCACATGGCTGCCACAATTGCATGAACTGTATTGAAAGGTGTAGCAATCTTCTATGGTAGCCTCACACATTCTCTGTACTTTTTAACTCATATAAGTAATTTCTTTTTTACTAGTGAACTTCATGATATGAATACTTCATATAACGTAAAACAGAGTGGGAGTTAGAAATTTAATTTAAAAAGTAACTTGACATTTTTATATTTAATTTTGTTTCCAAGTTGGAGGCTAGCTTCACCAGACAGCATTAATTTTAAAATAAGTGTTTTAGGTTGTCATGCTACACAAGGAAAGAAAACAGGAAAAAAATTTTTTTAAATGTAAAAACATACACAAATGAAGGCCAGACGTGGTGCCTCATGCCTGTAATCTTAGCTCCTTGGGAAGCAGAGGTGGAGAGGATGGTGATTTGAAGCCAGCCCTCCTAAAGAGTTCGTGGAACCCCATCTCACCAAATAAGCTGGGCACGGTGGCATGTCCTTGCCATCCTGGCTGCACAGGAGGTATACATAGGACGAATGTGGTTCAGGGTGGCCCCAGGTAAAAACGTGAGCCCCTATCCCCAAAATAACTAAAAGCAAAGAGGGCTGGGTCACAGATCAAGTGGTATAGAACACCTGCCTAGCAAACGTAAGGGCCTGAGTCCAAACCCCAGTCCCACCCCTCCCCCAAATAGACAAATGAAGTAAAGCAGAGCTAAATGAATAAGCAGTATTTTAAAATTATCCAAACTATTCTTATTTTGCTTATTCAGTAACCCTTTGAATACACCGGAAGTGAAATTAAATGAATTGTAAAAGTTAACTTTAGTTAATAACATCCTTTTTTCTTTACTTTTATTTATCCTGTAGCAATTCCGCACATTCAGAATTCAAATATTTCCCAAATTGGCAATGGCACATTTTTATAACACTTAAAATGTAGGGCAATAGATGGTGATAATAATTTTCTAGAAATTTCTCAAATATACAATGAAAAATATTAATATTCTTTATTTTCCTATCATTTTTTAAATGTTCTTTCTGGTTCAGCTTATCCCCAGTTTGGAAACTTAGTAACAAGTGTAAATTTTGTTTTGTTTAATGTATGTTTTTAAAGGAATGCTTTACTATTTTTGTAGAGAAGGACCTAGTTTTGATGATTGGTGATAATTTGCTATGAGTGAATTTCAGAAATTCAAATTAATATCTATCTCTTCAGTTGATATAAAGTAGTAAAAAAGCTCCTACCAATCTTCTTGACCCATTTTTATTTTCACTTTATCAGCTAAAGAGGCAGCTAAAAAACTAAACAGGGAATGTGTACCCTGTCCTCATCCTCAGTTCTGGGAAGAGGGGCTCCTGTCACTATGAAAATCCTGGTCCTGGAGTACTGCCCCTTTTGCTGTCATTCTTGACATGGCCTGCTCATGTAATCACGACTTCTGAGGGACTGTACTCGTGACCTGAGAGATGATCATACACAGTGCAAAATTTAACCTTATTTCACTACCGTTTTAAATTGAAAGTATATGCTTTTTTATTTTAATATATGCTCTCTCAATGAATTTTTCATTTTATTTTACATCTTGTATTTGAAGAGATGGTTCAAGAGGATCCTGGAATCTGTCCTTTGACTGCTAGTTTTTCTATTATTGTTATCATTGGCTTTCATTATTGTTATTAGGATTATTGTCCTCATTATTGCATTTATTTTAAATGTTCTCAAAAGTAAGTATGTGTTTCCTTTAAATGGTACTCTATTATAATTTATCAATGGATATGTTTCTAAGTGATTGTCCCAAAATAGGTCTCTAAAGGAAACATTACACTGGAGTGTTCACATATGAATAAACCCAGTCTGAGATCTACTGCTTTAGTAAATATATTTATGGATAATTACAAGGTATAGCATAAGATAAGACTCAGTTTAGCTTACTGCTAAGAAACTAGAGAAATTATACAGCTTGACCTTTTCTTTCATGCCTCTTGTTCGCTGTGAGTAATTTTCACTATTGACTTGTAACAGATAATTTCTGAGGAAACAGACACCTTCTAAATCCATTGAGATGCCAAAGCTGATACACATAAATGTTAATTCTACAGCTCTTATAATAGTTTTATAATCAGCTGTCTACCTCAATTAGAACATTTTTACTAACAGACGCTTAAATGCAGCTTCAGAGTCAATTACACACAATATGGTAAAACGAATCTTAGACTCATTAAAGGCAGTAAGAACTCTGGTTGCCCAGAAGCAAGTTACCTTCAAGTGGGCTCCAGTTAGACCAGGCACACATACTTGACTGACTGGTGCTGGGACCTTTCCCAGAAGACATTTTTGCAAGGATAAATGTGAGGATCGAGACCTTTCATTTTTTTTCTTAGATATATTTCAGTGTATTGAAAAGAAATGATTCTAAATTAGTGTAGAAAAATTATATTGTTCTCTCTTCTTCAAATAGGTTATGTGGGTATGTAATTTATGTCGAAAGCAACAAGAAATCTTAACTAAATCTGGTGCATGGTTCTTTGGAAGTGGCCCTCAGCACCCAAGTCAAGATGGAACCCTGAGTGATACAGCTACAGGTGCTGGCTTTGAGGTACCAAGAGAAAAGAAACCACGACTCCAGGAGCGATCAAGGTCTCAGACACCCCTAAGCACAGCAACTGCCTCCTCCCAGGACATCACTCCTCCCAGTGCACCACCAGACAGGAGTACCGGGGCTGAGCCCGCACAGCAAGCCTTGGGGCCAGAACAGAAGCAGGCTTCATCCAGGTCTAGAAGTGAACCTCCAAGAGAAAGGTAATAATTCATTAACTCTGTAAGCAAAAGTCAGGGTCTTGCTTGCAGAACAAACCCATTTTCAAGAATTTAACCTCTTATTAGGAGGGATGCGTGGAAGTAGTACTTTTCAGGCCCCACAAAGAAGGCATCAATAGGCCTGAGGTGCTGTTTCTATCTGTAAAATACATTGTTCCATAGGAAACCTTTGTTGAAAAGCCTTTCTTTCATATCATGCACAGGTATAAACATGTTACATCACTTGACTGAACTACTAACTCACAACCTTGAACTCAAGAAAAGCTCTTAGATCATTGTTTATTTATATAATTTGTCCTTTAGTTATAAATATGCTGAGTCTGCTGGGTGAACGTGACCTATTCAAGGGTGTGCTGGAACATCAGAAAAAGTGAAAAAGCCTTTTTTTTTTTTTTTAATGCTGAGCTCTAAAATGTAACTAGGAATTTACCAGAAGGGCAGGCTGATGCTCCAGGTGTCTGCACAGGCATGTAGCCTAAAGGAAATAGTCTGGTGTGAGTTCTTCGTTAAGGATGCCCATTGGCTAGGTACATTGGTACAAGAAGAGCAGAGGCAAGGCAGATGGTAAGGTAGTGAGGGAACACACTAAATTTCACCGATTTTATCCATGGCATAAAGGAAAACCCTGGAGATTTAAACAAGAGATAGTATGATCAGGTAATTTACTTCAATTATTTGCTTCATTCATTCAAAACAATATATTTTGGGCCAGATAAGAAAGTACACTAGGAAATAGCACTGACAAGGATAGCATAGCCCCCATGTTCATGAGGCTCAAAGGTTAGGAGATCTGACTGTTGCTGGGACTTGGACTAGGCTTGACTATTTCTGTGAAACTCTCCTTTATTCCACTTCCCAAGGAAGGTTTTTGACCCCCCTTTCAAACAAAGCTCATACAATAAGATCAAGGATTTCAAAGTTAAACGGTCAGTCCTGGCTCTGCCACAAGAGGCAGTAATAACCTGCCTTAAAGGGTTGTATAAAATAAAAAGGAGAACATGTGTCTCCACGCTGCACAAGGTAAGCATTTAATAACTGTGGCTATTATTTAAGCTAGGAGTCATCATGTATTTACTACAAGTAAGCACTTTGCCAGGAGCCAGAGTGCATGAGGATGATTAGGACATAGTCCCTTTTCTCACAGACACTGGGGAAGAGACCACACACATCACAGGAAAGACAGACACATAGGCAATGAACCAGGATGCTGTTTGATCAAAGCTAGAAAACACACAGCACTTTGGGACTTCCATTCCATCCCTCCCCCCAGCTCTGTAAGATTTCTAAAAGTTGTAGGGTAGAAAGGCAGAGTTAAAGAGGACATAACACAAAAAAAACAGGTATGCCTAAACTATTTGGAGAGAAGATAGAACACAAGAGGATACCTTAGTGAGGGTAGAATTAATAACATTTGGTGACAAACTGTCATAGGGGAAGAAGAAACAAAAATATTAAAAGTACAGTTTAGGACTGGTCATTAAATAAGAAAAGATTTGGGAACTATAAATTTTCTAAAGAGAAGAGAATTCTGTTTTTGACATATGGTGGAAAATGACATAAATTTCAAGAATGAGGTCTGAAATACTTTGATTTTTAGATGAAATGTGAATATTGATAGAGGCAAACACATTTACGGATGATGTAAATAGACAGTGAAGAATTAGGGGTGTAGGAGCAGAAGAGAGGACTGTGGCCATAGGGGTTTGGGCAACTTCAGGGAGAAACAGGACTGGAAAGGTGACAGTCTATTTGTTTTCAGTTAGCGACAATTTCTTGATCATACTTTGTACACCGATCAGGAGCTGGTGAAAACAAAACAATTAGAGGTAGAGATGAGAAAAATCACAATTAGTGCAGCAAAGAACCAGAGAGACTGGCGAACTCCTACCATTTGCATAATACTGGTTCCTTTCATAAAGCATCTTCACAGAGGTGTTTCCTTTAATGCTCAGGTGAACTCTGCAAGGTAAGCAAGCATTACTTGTCAACAAAGAAAAGTAACTCTCAAGGGCAACTGTGCCTTACTGAGTTACCAAATGTTGCATATGAGCATTACAGTCTGAGAAGGACTATATTTAATGGTGATTAATATGACATCACATTAGACCCCAAACCTTGCAGTTCCACCTTCAGATCCACATCCCTTTCATTTCTGGAGAGCTGCCCCTGCTTCTGTGTTTTCCTGTACCACTTGACACCCTTTACCCTTTCTCTAGCACCACCAGCTTCTCTTTGCATCCACCTCACAGCAGAAATTGCCCCACTTTTTGCCATTTTGTAGTTTGTTCAATTTTCACCCACGACATCTGCTTTTGAACTTAGAATCAAATGACTATACCTTTTGAAAAGCCCACTCTGGGGACCTCAGGATTCCAAAATGAGCCTGGGGCTGCTTCCATTTAAATTGCATATTAGATCATCCAAGTCCAGAATGCTTAGCCAAGCCTCAAACTGCATTAACTGGTGGAAATTCCCTAAATCAAGTGCATTCCTGAGAAGTACCTAAAAGGACAACTGAAGGATCCATTTACAGGAGTCAGATTCCCCTGCCATTTCTCTTATGATCATCTTTGCAAGTATCTTCAACAACATAGAAAAGTAAAATGAAAGCTGTTTTCTTCTTTTGGACTCTTATCCTGAAATAAGTGGAAGTGAGGAAGTGAGAATGAACAGCAGCTTCAAAGTTTCAGTATTTCTGAGCTGGAGGTGTGACTCACAGGTAGAGTGTGTGCCTAGCATGAGCTAGGCCCTGGGTTTGATCCCCCAGGAAGAAAAATAAAAAAGATTCAGTGTTTCTATTAAAGTTTTAAAATGCAAATTATGGTTCAGCTATTGTTTCCTAGTCATCTCGAAAAAAAATTGAGTGCACAAGATTAAGTCAAAATTCAGTTTCTACTACTAATTGTTATTACATTTTATTTCTGAAATGGACACATTCGTATTTACACTTCTTTAAAAGTTTGAGTTGTGATATTTGGTTTCGAAGTGTGAATTATCTTTTGCTCCTGTACATTATTATCTACATTATTTTTATCTAAAGCGTTTTCGTGTTTGAGTAACAAGGAGCGTAGCATAAAATGTGTCAATCTATTGAATTAATGGTTTTTACTGATTTTGGAAATGCGAAACTTAAAGTGTAAAAACAAGATTTCAAGCTCTTGACTATGATTGAAGCCATATTTTAAAAGTTAATCAGTTACACCGGTTTAATGTGGTGCTTTATCTCAATCCTTAATTAGACGTTAAATTGTGACTTTTAATTAAGACTGGAATGCAAACTGGAATTGGAAAAAAAGTTTCTTCCGTGTGCCTTTTTTGTCTTATAAACTGCTCTCCTCCTTGCCGTCCCTTGGCCTATCACAGGAAGAAGGCGCCCGGTCTTTCCGAGCAGAATGGCAAAGGCGCCCCGAAGGGCGAGCGCAAACGAGTGCCGAAGACCTCAGCGCAGCCCGGGGACGCGGCTGCGGACGATCGCGAGCGGAAGGAAAGGCGGGATAGCCGGCGGCTGGAGAAGGGGCGATCCCAGGACTATGCCGACGGGCCGGAAAAACGGGAGGCCGGCCAGGCAGCGGAGGACGAGAGGCAGAGGAAAGAGGAGGAATTCCAGACCAGGTACCGCAGCGACCCGAACCTGGCGCGCTACCCGGTGAAGCCGCCGCCAGAGGAGCAGCAGATGCGCATGCACGCCCGCGTGTCCCGCGCCAGGCACGAGCGGCGCCACAGCGACGTGGCGCTCCCGCACACCGAGGCCGGGCCCGCGCCGCCCGACGCCAAGGCCGGCAAGCGCGCGCCGCCCGCCGCCAGGGCCTCGCCGCCGGACTCGCCCCGGGCGCACGCGGCCGAGAGGACTGCGGAGGCCCGGGCGCCGGGAGCCAAGCCGCTTACGAACCACAGCCGCCGGCACCCAGGCATGGGCCGGTGCCCGCAGACGCCCCCGAGCTCAAAGCCCAGGAGCCCCTCAGGAAGCAGAGCCGCCTGGACCCCAGCTCGGCCGTCCTCATCCGGAAGGCCAAGCGGGAGAAGGTGGAGACCATGCTGCGGAACGACTCGCTGAGCTCCGACCAGTCCGAGTCGGTGCGGCCGTCCCCGCCCAAGCCGCACCGCGCGCGCAGGGGCGGCAAGAAGCGGCAGATGTCTGTGAGCAGCTCGGAGGAGGAGGGCGTGTCCACGCCCGAGTACACCAGCTGCGAAGACGTGGAGCTCGAGAGCGAGAGCGTTAGCGAGAAAGGTAAGGGGCGGCGCCCTCCAGGAGCGGGCTGTGCAGGGGCCCCGTGCGCGCGTACCCGGCTTGCAGAGATGCGCGCGCGCGCCCGGGATGGAGGCGCGCGCGGTGCCAGGCTTAGAGACGCAGGTGCGTTGGGCTTCGCGGTCACGTGTGCTAGGGGTAGACGTACACCTGTGCCAAGGTCAGGCCTGCATTTCAGCCTGAGTAAGAGGGGAAGCTTGGAATGCGCGCAGGCAGCGATGCAGCCAATGAAAGGCCTAATTTTTATTGACTTATTTGTGGATTTTTTAAAACATAGATACAAACTCCAAATTTAGGAGTTTCTTACTGATTTTGATTCCATTCTGGGAAATTCATTCTGTACTCATGTTTTTAAGTTATTATTTGGAGGTCAAATTATATGGGAAAAATATTTTTTTTTTTAGTAAAAGCCCAGAAACTGTGCTCTAGAGAGGGATATGCCACCCCACCCCCCCAAAAAAAAAACTTCAGTTGTATATATTGCAGCCACAAAGGTAGAGTTTTTCAAATTTTAAATTACTCCTTCTCACAATTTGTGAAGAAGTTACAATGATTTCATGCTAGGTATTTTATATTGTGTTTTGGGCAATAACTTTGAGGAATGAAGCTCACATTCCAAAAGCTTTGGGCAATTTTTCTGTCTAAATCCGCACTGTATAATACTATAGCCACGTCTAGCTGTTAAACTAATTAAAACTACATAAGCTTTAAAATTTAGTTCTGCAATCATACTAGCCACATTTCAAGTGCTCAACACAGATCTTCACAAAATTTCCATTAGATATTGCTGGTATAGCATTATTATTAAAATTGGGTGCTTCTTTTGAAGATCATTCTCCTTTTTCTGCTGTTCACTCAGATTTAAGTAGACCACAGTCCTAACTTGTGGTAATGGTCGGGTCCTAGGGTATTTCTGAATGAATTTGTACTTGGGATTATTTTCAGGTTTTTGTTTTTTGCTCATTTTAGAATCGCTGAATTATATGCTAAGGTGTGTACTAAATATAATAAATTTTATTTTAAAAGTTACTTTGATTCCTCACCTTCTCTCTCCAAACTTTATGCACCTGTGCTACTTCCACCCTTGCTGTACACTTCTGTCCAGCCAGTCTCATGCTTTATAGAGCAAAAATGAAGACAGGCCCTCCTGTTGCTGGTATTACTGGTGTCTGTGGAATTTATACCTGCTTAGGGTCAATTTGGTTCTTCTAGCTTATATCCTGATGACTTCTCTTTATAAGTTGCATGCTGGCTTTAGTCTCTTTAAAAATCTGTTGTTGAGTAGACTCTGTTGACTGCCTTTTGTTTTCCTCTGAAGTAATAAAGTAGGTGCTAAGTAAATATGTAAGTAGAAGTGCTTAACTGATGAGCAGATAAGTCCTGATCAGAATGGATATGTACATTTTCCTTAAAGACAGGACTTTACACCAGGTCTTATTCAATATGTATTGTGAGTCACAATAGGCATGGAACCAGACAGAATTGACCCTCAAATTATTTACAATAGCAATAGGTGGTGAAAGTGGCATAGGTGATTGAAGGGATGGGGATGATGGGATGTGGGGGATTTATCATTCTAGAGACTTTGGTGCCCTCTTGGGATGTACAATTCCTCATTAGCTTGTGTTAAATATCTATCTGGGACCACAGGGACATCACATATAAATTTATTTGATACAGATTACCCTGTTTTCTCTTCACTTACATTTCTCTTAATTTCATTCTCACATTTGTTGAATATACCCCAAAGTAGTTGTCCCACTTTAATATTTTAACCAAATCAATATTTATGAAATATTAACTATAAATAATATACCTCTTAATAATATAGCATAGACATTTTCATATTTGAAACTTAATTTTAAATGCTATCATCTGTAATATCTATTAGTGACTTTATTACCATTCCTTACCATTGTCTACAAATCTTGGCAACTGGCCACAACCATGTGCAGTACACTGTGACACTGTACAAGTTACATAGCTGTCATAAGTCTCCATTTTCTTACTGGAGAGAAGAGCTTCTACTTTTAAGGTTCTGAGATAGATTGGATGAGTTGATGATTAAATAGTAAAAATAGACTCTGGTGAGTCAGAGCATCATGGCAGATGGAGTTTGTTGCAGAAACTGCTCCCTTCAAGGAGGCCAGGAAGCAGAGATTGAGAGAAGGAGAAGGAAGGAGGAAAAAGAGAAAGGGGAATGGGGGAGAGAGAGACACACACACCCCAATCTCCTGGTATTTTCAAGCATCTATCCACAGATCTCTGAGAACTTTAGAGAGAGAGGATGCTCCCAAGATGAAATCAGGCTCTGTGGTATGTATCATTACATACATTTAAAATTATAATTTTAAAATGGTTGTACCTTAAATGGGTGTTTCTCTTGTAATACCTAGCAAATGTAAGCACTTGTTTTTCTTACCCCATAAGTTCCCCCAAATACTCATGAAAATTAGTAAGATCCCCAAAATACTCATGAAAATGAAGAGAAAGGGAGGTGAACTATGAGCAAATGGAATGTTTATAGAGTATGAAAAAGGAAGAGTAGCCTGCTTTTAGAGAGAAGAGCTGGAGCTGGTCAAGTAGGCTAGAATGTGTGGTGTCAGAGGAGAAAACAATCCGTCTCCTAAAGCATCTCTCAGAGAGCTCAGGCTCAGAGACACAGATTTCAGTGGAGCTGGAAGTGATAGCAAAGCTTCAGGGCTTAGATTCATTCAGTATGTATTGACAGAACAGCAACTGCACTCTCCCTCACTTTTCACATTGCCTCTTCCTCCTTACCCCTTTATGCATGGTGAAGCCTCAACAGTCAATTCCTAGGTAAAAATCAAGAAGAAATTCAAAGGAAAGCTTGAATGAAAAACAGATATACTAGAGTGAGTACTTCCCCACTTTGGGACTCCCACCGTTATCACCTTACATTGCACGTCACAACTTACTTACTCTGCAGTGAAAGCTACCAGCTCACATACCCCATTCCTTCACAAATGATACGAGATACACTTGGTGTCCATGAGAGCAGCCTCCCTAAAACCATCTGCATGCAAACTCCTACTAGGCATTCACGAACATCCATCCAGTGCCCATTTTGAATATGAATGAACAACAAGAGTTATGAGATCTGAAGAATACCACAGAATGAGCAAGAGATCAAGATAATCCAAGATGCATTGATTCTAGAAGTAAGAGGTAATTCAAGAGCTCAGGGGTCCTTTAAACTAAGCAGTACAAAATGCTGTACCTCTTGGTCAAGTTTAGTACATCTGAAATGCCTAAATCTTATCCTGAGGGCAGTTTCACCACCTAACCACACAGATACCCTGTGTAAAATATTTTTTGAAATATTAAAGTTATAGACTATGCTCAAAATAAAAAGAAAGTTCTGGATGCCAAAACCCTTAGCACTGATGTGTTTAGACAGAGGTGGTTGGATAAAATATGAGACTATACAACTGGACTTTAGATTACAAGTTTACGGCAGGTATCCAGGTAGTTCTCCTACAGAGGAAGAAGTAATGTAGCACAATCTGACTCATTAAGATACAAGCTCCTATAAGACTTAGTATCTCCTTTGGGTCTGGAAAGAGACAACTATGAAACTGAACAATAGAAAGCCCATATAACCAAGGGGGTGCTCAAAGGATAAGTACGAATGTCATAATTATGAAACATAAACTTCAGAACATTAAAGGTGCTGAGTAAGCAGGGCAACCCAGTAAGCTTTTGGAGATTTAAAAAAAAACAAAACAGGTCATTGGTGAGGTATGGTGGAGGATGTCTATAATCCCAGCTGTTTGGGAGGTTGAGGTATGAGAACTGGAGTTTCAGGGAAGCCTGGGCAAAAGTAAGCATGACTCTATCTCAAAAACAAGTTGGACATGGCAGTGTACATCTGTAATTCCAGCTGTTCAGAAGGCAGAAGTAGGAGGACCATGGTCTGAGGCTGGCCCTGGAAAACTGCAAGACCCTATTTGAAAACTAAATGCAGAAGGACTAGGGAAGCCAATCCCCAGTACCACTAAAAGCAAAATCAGGTCATGCACACACAAAAAAAGAGAGTTAAAAAGCCTTTGTACTTCTCATCAACAATGAATTCTAGACTACAGTGAATAGTTTCAGTGTTCTGAGCAAAATATCATTGAAATTACACTCTACACAAATTGAAACACCAAGTTCTCAGAAAATCTACTGCTCAGTCTCTTTCTGAGAAAGATACTTAAGGGTATATGCACTCAGAAAACAATCGTAGTAGTCAAGAGATCGGGCATGGAAGAAACAGGAAATAGTGGAACTAACCAAGAAATCCACAAAGAAAATTCTCAAGTGGCATTATGAGCAGAAAGCAGTCTGCGCATGTCAAAGCCAAAAAGCATTTCCAGGAGATTCCAAACAGAATATCTATTAGGAAAAATGTCATAGTTTCCAAGAAATATCCAGTGACTACTGAGTTACATGACATCATTGATTAGAAAGGAAAAGCCATACCTTTCAGTAATAAAAAGCTGTAATTCAAAATTGAAAAATAATTAAATTCTAAAGAAGCCATGATCCAAATATGAAGCAAGCAAAACAAAACGAATAACTTTAAATAAAAACTTGAATGTTGCTGGTATTTACTTGATTCTGGATTATTCTTATATTATAATAAAATAAAAAGTGCTTATTTTTCAGTTTTAAGAATAAACCCTCTGCTGCATTGAGCTTTTATTTATTCATATTTATACATTTGAATATGAATACCATGTCCATGTCAAAATAAAGGTGAAACTGACAGGGGAATAGAAAGGGTTTGGAATAGGCATGCATATAAATATCTAATGTTTTCATATGAAATATTCAAGAGTTGAAAGTTATACTCAAATTTTAAGGAAAGAAATAGAGTATTAAGTATATTTAAATAATGGAACCTATAAAAAAAAGAGTTACAGGAAATAACTCAGTGTTGGAGCAGGTATTAGCATGCACAAAGACCTTGGTTCAAT